CTGCCATGCAAGGGCAAAAAGTCCATCTGCTAACAATCTTTAAGGCACACTGCTAGAGGAAAAAAGTTACTGAACCTCACAGAGGAGATGCTTCTCTCAATTAAACAAGTAGGGACTTTTTTTTTTAACTTCTGTTTGCCCACTGTGCCCAGAGGCTTAGTTATGTTATAGACTGATACCATGGAAGCAGCTAACTGTGCAGAGTAGGTTTTTGGCATTGTTAAAAATATAAAATATTCAAAGGTCTTGATTTTTCTTTGCAACCTTTAAAGCCAAGATATAAGCCTTAGAAATATGGGTTTTATACTAAAAGTACATTGTGACAGTACATCCAGAAACAAGTCACATTACAAACTCAATTAGCTGGTGTAATATTATTCATTACACAGGCTTGAAAAAATTAATTCATGCCAGACTTCAAGATGGAAATTTTTATTTGTAGATGACAAAAAGTTTCACATTTCTACTCTCATGTTTCTTTTTTAACACCAAACCAGAAACACTATCATAGAAGCAACTTAAAAAGCTGTACAGATCTTATTGTGCATCAGGCCAGAATAGAAAGCACTGTCAAGAGCAGGCAGTATCCTTTCACATGCTTTTTACATTTCAAGTTTTCTAGGACAGTAGAATTTATACCTATATCCTTAGGCAATCACCTAAAAGAAAGATAGGATTATAGCAAGTGGCTCTTATAACAGCCAGCATCTATATCATGCAAAGCCTTTATGATAAATATCCGGAATGGTAAAAAAGGGCTGTCTGTCTTCCAGTGGAGAGTAGGCTAGCATGACAATGCTGCTCTGAAAGGCAGCAGGTCCTTTGAATGGTTTTGTGATATACAGCAGTCTGGCTTTTCATTGAATTGGTTGAGCAGAGTAATTTCTAAATGTGTCCTAAACTAGACCATCTACATATTTACTGTTACAGATTGGCATCAGAGAGCATTTTAAGGCAAGATCAGTAGAACATGCTTGTCTAATACTTGTGTCATCTTCCTAAGCTTTCCAATTCAAGAACTTGTAGTTACAGTAAAGTGGGGTGCATGGTGGTGCTTGTCACAACTATTCCCTATATTTTTAATTAAGTGGGAGCACTCTTCATATATAGCTAAGGCTTCATATAGACCCATTAACTAAATGTTTCTCTCAGTTGCCTGGATTATAGCACCTCCTGTTTTGGCAGCAGTGTGGTCCTTGTGGACAGTATGCCTGTATTTTTCATCCATCTGTTCCAGGAGACTCATATTCTTGCCTACAGAACCCAATCTGCTCAGCCTGAATGATAGGATCAAGTTCTAATGTTGAACAATAGCTCTGAAGTGTGTCAACTATTGCTTTCAAGTTAATAGTATGGGTTCTCTGAAATAGAATAGATTCTTAAATGACAATGTTAGTTCTTTCATTGCAGATGGACACAGTTAATTCACAGCAGAATGGGTAAATTTATTCACTGATCCAATGTAGCTGGGAATTCCATTTATTGGAAGGATATTGAAAGAATATGTCTGCACATTTTAAGAGCAGGACATTTTTATTTCTAGTCTTGAGACACATGAATTAATCTCTTCTGGTTGCCACCATCTCCCAAAATCCACAGCAGGGGTGATCTGTGTTCCAAGTTGCCAGGGCTTCTCTGTTGTTTAAGACAGGTTTCACGTATCTTGTTGAACAGATTCCTAATGTCAGTACCATCTGTTCCCTGTGTCACCACCCAAACTTCCTTCTCACAAATATTCAGTGCTCATTCACATCACCTGGAGCAACTCCAAGGAATACACAGAGTTTCCTTTTGACTTTGAACTGGACCCCAGAAATATGTGCCACCTCTCTAGCTTGCTAGTGAATTGAATGCAATAGGTAAAAGGCACCAAACCTTAGAGTCCTTCTGCTCATTCCCATATTTTGAAGACTTTTCACACGTCTAAAAAAGGGCAGGCAGGTGCCTTTTTCCTGGTTCCTCATTAAGTGTGTGATCCTGTGAAGTACTTTGTCACACTGGCACCAGTTCAGAAAAAAAACTCAAGAGTTAAGCACAGAGTTGGATTGTGACTAGGGTGATCAGCATTTTGGAGGAACTAGCATCGGGAAAAATTAAGGAAGGCCGGGATGCGGAGTCAGTGTAGAATGGCTTCAGTGCTACCTTCATCTTACTGTCCCTTTTAATTACCAGATATTAGGACAGACCTTCTGACTGCCATAAACTTCCAGTTTTCCCAGATCAGCTATCTGCTCTTTAAACTTCCCTGTACTCTAGGAAAATTCTGGCTCAAAACTGAATTATTAAGAAAGGAATAGGACTCTTTGGAGTCTATCAATGTAGTTGTCCATGCTTTGCTATAGCAACAGGGCCAAATAGGAGAAGCAGATTTAAATAAGAGCTTTTGCAGTTCTACCCCTCTGGTGCCTTCACAAAAATCACTAATGAAATTCTGCCAATTTTTGGAAACGTGGTGGTTTTGTTAACATTCCCTGCTGATTTCTGGGCATTTGTTGTATTGCATTTTCTCCAGTGTATGCTACAATATCTGTTGTTGTGAAGGGGGCACATGACCATTTTAAGTGCTTACCATTGATTCTCTCTCTTTATTCTCTGTTGTTTCATATAGGTAGATAACTTGAATGGCCTTCTGTTTGTCTCATTATTCAGAGATGCCTAGCAGCATATTATTCGATAGAGCAGAATGGACTGGTGCCCATGCTAGCTTCTTTAGTTTCTACTCTTGCTAGAAAGACACCTGTCTGAATCATGTTTGTGGTTGCCAGGACATGATATAAATGGAAACTGAATGACACTTGTAACTTTCTCCTCTTTTGTTAAATTACTTCAGGGTTCTGTCTTTCAATCTTTCCACAAAGCAGTAGAGCCATCCCTTATTTCCTTTCCTATTCTTAGGGGCTCAAAGGGATGCTTAAGAATAATGTGTGTTTAAAGTTCAGCTAAATTTGGGAAGAGAGATTAAGGGAAAAGTTTGAGGGCATGATTTTCAAAAATGCTGAACACTTTCTAGGACCTAATGAAATCCTTGCACACTGCAGGTGCTCAGAACCACAGCAAATTGGCAAAGCAAGCAAAACTGTGGCTTGCATCCATAGATGCTTCTCTAGCAAATCCCAGGATGTCATCCTCCCACTGTACTTGGCCTTGGTGAGGCTGCAGCTGGAGTACTGCATCCAATTCTGGGCTCCACAATTCAAAAAGGATGTGGGGAATCTTGAGAGGGTCCAGAGGAGAGCCACATGCATGATCAGAGGGCAGGAAAACAGGCCTTACCATGAGAGGCTGAGAGCCATGGGACTCTTCAGCCTGGAAAAGCTTAGGCTCAGGAGGGATCTGGTGGCTGTCTATAAGTATATAAGGCGTGTGCATCAGGATCTGGGGGAATGCCTGTTCACCAGAGTGCCCCATGGGATGACAAGGTCAAACAGTCACAAACTTCTCCAAGACTGTTTCAGGCTGGGAATAAGGAAGAACTTCTTTACACTCTGAGCCCCCAAGGCCTGGGACAGACTGCCACCAGAGGTGGTGCAAGCACCTAGTCTGGACTCCTTTAAGAGTCAATTGGACATTTATCTTGCTGGGATCCTGTGACCCCAGCTGACTTCCTGCCCCTGGGGCAGGAGGCTGGACTTGATGATCTTCTGAGGTCCCTTCCATCCCTAATGTCTATGAAATCTATTAAGCTTAGCTTGTTTCTCACTCCGGGATGTAAATGTTGTTGTATCTGATTAGGAAACAGCAGTGTTCATGAATCAGTGAACCACACCCTGTTGCTCTTAGCACCCCAGCTATGGTCAGTTTAAAGATTGTAGATGGATACAAGTAGAAGTGGTCTTCAAGGACAGCAGAAAAAAATATTTGTTTATCCCCCCCCGCCCCAAACAAGAGAAACAAAAAACCTATAAAGCACTAAGCCAAACTTCTCTTTTTCAGCAGCTTTGAATGGGTAGAAGTCTCTAAAAACAGGCATGTTTTGCCTCAGAAGTTCAGATTGTGAATTTTGGTGGTGATCAGCCTTCCACTAAAGCTGTATACCCTATGGCTCTGTTTTTGTTTTACTAACAACCTTGTTAGTCTGTGTTTCTTAAAATAGTTTGGCCTGATGCAGCTCTTAATCAGTCTATCCTGATAACTTGGTTAGTTGCAGTGGAAAACAAATATTGTTTTGCTTTATTTCCTTTTCACTAAAACCCTGCCAACATTTATGTGAACAATTTTACATACATGTGCATTATCATTTTACTTAATGAGACTGCTCTGTACATGTGATATTATTCACTGTGTACTAGCTTTTGGCAGGAACAAGTTTTCAGTTCAGTAAAACTTGTTTGTTTGGTTTGGAGTTTCATGCTTGTCTCTCTGGATCAAGAATGCACTAAAGGGACTGTCTGATGGCCAAAGTATTTCAGGAATTGATCCGAAATGAAAACATAAAGCTTGGAAATGGATCCTGTGAAATGAGTCCAACAATGCTTGGATTACACAATAGTAGAATTAGCCTTCAATAATGCCAGGAATAATACACAAAAAGGACATCACTATTCCATTGAGCTAGTTTGCAAAATGTCCATTAAAAGGCAAAACTTTGTAGTTAAAATATAAAAGCTTTTTCTCCTTTCTTTTTAAATTGGAGCTGCTAAGCTAAGCTCCACTTTGCAGTTAAAATGAAATGGTTTAATCCTACACCACATGAAAGGAAAATGTCAGCAATTAAGTCAGATGAAAAAGCTTTGTTAGTGAAGGAATGCATGGCTGGAACTTGCCCTCAAAAGCTTTACAAGAAAAACAGTCATTTATTTAGGTCATGTCTTCATAGAACACAAAAGAAATAAACTGATAATGGATTGGCACTTCAGGGGAACCAAAGGCTTTTAATAAAAAATTCTTGGACCACCATCTTCCTCCTAAATATCAAACTGTTCAGATGTAACCTTCCAGTAACCTTACTGGCGTGCACTACAGTGTGATTCACTAGGATGCCCCTATTCTTTTCGTTTTAGGCTCCTGCTCACATGGCTATTGGGAATGTCAGAATGGCAAGTGTTACAGACCAGAACAAAGCTGTGATTTTGCGGATGACTGTGGGGATAATACCGATGAGAATGAATGCGGTACTTCCTGCACCTTTGAAAGAGGCAGATGTGGTTGGCAAAATTCCCTAACTGACAACTTTGACTGGACTCTGGGAGACGGCTCGCCTCAAAGTCTTAGACCTCCCAAGGATCACACGCTTGGAAATAAAAATGGTACGTTGTTGATTCACACACAAGGATATAATCACATTCACAAAACTTCTCATGTCTTCCCCATGATACAGCAGGAGGGCTCTATATATCTAATTAAGGTGACATTATTAATAAGTGAAACATTTAACTGGATACTAGGATCTTATATTAATTACTGTTCAACAGTGATTTTTAAGTCAATAAAAGTTTGATTCCCAGTTGCCTTTTTTTCTAAATAGTACAACATGTAATGAACAAGACAATTGGTTACTTGTCGAGAGAGAGACATCTGATACAGCCACGGACAATAAGGGTACAAGATCTATTAGGATCCATTCCAGCATACTTTAAGATCATTTCTAGTAAGCATCTGGTGAAGTCTGAAGTATTACATAGTCTGAAGCTTGTTAAAAAAAAATCATTCTGTGGTCTATCTCTGATACTCAGAAAAAACAGAACAATTTAAATGATTTCCAGCAGTTTTTCTTTTCAACTATATGACTAAAACATACCTTTTACAAAAGTGAAAGCCAGAATCAAGCAGAACCTTAATGTAGCATAGCAGCATAATCAGCAGTCTGGGAGTTTGACAACCATGGGATAAGATCACTCTCAGTCATTCAGATCTCTGATTTTTTCCCCCTCTGGGTCCATACTTTTTGTTGCACCAAAAAACCTCAAATCAGTTTATGGTGGCCCATATCTGTTTGTTTATAGCAGGAGAACATGGGCAGTCTAAAGGTGCCTGTGCTTTCCAGCTGCGTGAGGCATCAGCTCTGTGACCTTAGTTTTATTAAATGACACTGGTAATTCAGTGAGGCGGACTTTTTCAAAATTATAGTAAGGCACTCATTGATACCCAACTGGAGCAAAATGCCCTTGTGCCTAGAAAAATATTTTTCTATCTAACTGCTAAATTGTACCTAGAGAGTATGTCCTAGAGAGAGATGAGCTGGATGTTTCAGGAAATAAGTGACCCAAGTGATTTGCTAGGACCGAGTCCCAACTACAGAGGTCAATCATTTTACAAAAGTAGCCTGTATACTCATTTCATTGGAAGTAGCTGGAGTGGCTACAGCTCTCACCATTTTCCATAAAACTTTCTTCCTTTGTCCCAGAGCATCCAGGTTCCTATTCTTTTCCTATATCTTTCAGCATTTTAAGTTCACTCTTGTATTTGAAATTTCCACTGTACAGTGCAGGAGCTTGAAATTCAAATCTTTCACTCCTCACAGAAGCCAAGGGTTTGAATTTAGCAGCTGCCAGAGGGAATCAGTAGGATATATTATGTGGAGATGGGCTTTGGAAGGAGGATGGTTGAATCTTAAAAGGCCAGAGTTTATTTACAATTGTATACACAGGAGAACTTAGGAGCCTGTGGCAACTTGATAAGCAATAGTCCTGTGTGTGGAATAGGTAGGGATAAATAAACACTGAAGCTTATTTGTACACTTATTGCCAAATTTAGGCAGTCTAGGCTGTTTACATTTAATGGTGTCAAAAATAAGAAACAGTGCAAGAGAAATACAGGGGACAGAAAACATGCTGCACACTTTTTTGGCTTTTAAAAAGCTCAGTTCTGGTTTAAATGCGGGGTTTTAAAAGTTATGGTTTGGTTCTGTGGTCGTTGTGTCTCATTGACATTCATGTCAAATTCTCTTGGCATACAAATAAAAAGGCTCTTGTTCAAATTGCTAGCCGTGCAAATTCACCCTAGAATCTGAAAGGTAAGCTCTATTTTTCTTAATTCATGCATCATCAATAATAAAAATAGTGCAAAACATAGGACATGTTTTGCCCTTGATTACACCTCAGTAGTTACTCTGTAGCCTTGAAATTATCATGTGCTCATTTACATCTGAAACTGTTAAATATATCTTTCACGCCTACATTTTTTAATAAGGTTACAATACTGTAAGTGAGAACAGAATTTGGCTTTATAATCTGCATTTGCATCATTTAATTGTGTTGATAATGAGTGAGCTAGAGCAGCATTCAGCTCAATCTGTTATAGTTTTATTGGCTGGTATGATAAGTGCAGTATTCAGAAATCACTCAATCCCAGATCCACAGAGAGGTTTAGGTAGAATTCCAATGCCTTAGTTCCAATTTACAATCCTCCAAACACCAATTTATGGTACCACCTAACTCTGGAGGCCCCTAAAGTCTGTTGGTTTTCAGTTTTCAGCATGAAGGTTCTTTCGGTATTTAAGGTGTTAGGCTTCCAGGCATGCGTCATTCTTGACAGGTGAAGCCTATTTCCCACTTAAACCTCATCAGGATTAACAAACTCTGTGTGCTTCTCCCTACCTCCCCTGAGGGGCTCAATCTGGCAGGTATTCTTATAGCATAGGTAACTTGTCAGGCTCAGCAGAAAATGAAGAGGTGACTATAGCTTTCTTCTAAAACCTGGGTGAAGGTTTTGGTGCTGCTGTCATCTCCCTTGTATACAATACTGTAGTGGTTAGAACACTTGTTTAGGATGCAGGGTTAAATACTTACATCTGCCTAAAAGGATTGAAAACTATGTCTTCCTATATCTTGAATCCCCAACGACTAAGGTGGAAGGTGAACATGGGTTTAACCACTTATGGGTGCGTCCAGACAAGCGCGCACATGCCTTTTGCGCCATCTCAAACCCCTTTGAGATGGGGCAAGAGGCACGTGTGGGAATGAAAAAATGTTCCCTGCACTGCAAGTTGGCAGCGCAGGGTAAAAATTAGACCCCTGGATATCCAGGGTTCTAAAAAAACCAAAGTTTAAAAAAGTGGGGCAGGGCATTGTCCTGTACCATGCCCTGAGGCAACTGGAGGCTGGGTCCTCCACAGAGATGCTCTGGCTGCCAAATCATCTCTATGGTTGGCCCCTTGCCCTGGTGCTGAAGCAGCTTCTTCAGCACCAGGGCTCCAGTGCCATAAGTGAGGGGTCGGGGGGGCTGGAGGAGGGGGAAGGGGACAGTAGGGAGGACCCCTGCTGGCCCTGCCAGCTCCCCC